TCATCTCTCTCCACATACCTAAAGAGAACTTCCTTCATGGTCAATTCTTCTGGTACAAAGACAACTAGAAATATTCAGTCTTCTATATTTTAGCTTCATGTGAGGTCTGACTCAGGTGGCATATGTTGTACTGTGCTGTCATAACTATTCTTCTGCACTAGAGGGAGTCATCTCTACAGTTTAAAGCTCACTGCATTAGCTGAAGCTTGTCTCCACGCTGCAGTGGTAGCACACGTTGGTCAGTGTCTTATCTCAAATATAAAGGGAGTAAAACGAAACCGTATGGGATACTAAAATATTTATTGAATTCTCTGTACTCAAAAGTTACACTGAAATAAAACACTGCCACTCAGTAGAAATGTATGAATTTGTTTACCTCTGAGCTATAACATACTGCACGTAATGCCATATAGAAGCCAGTGCCGACAGCGTTATTTAGTAAGCTATCAAAAGCTACCTGTTTACCATTTTAGTTTTGGGAACATTTATTATCTTTTTAAAGATAAACTGCTGTACTTTGTGCTTTGCAGTCTTGTTAGTATTTGTTTCCCTAACACAGAGGTCCATTAAGTATGTTCAGATTCACCAAAAACACCAATCAGCACCATCCTTTTGAGATGTTGATTAATAGTTTCTCTTAGTCCAACACTTCTTAGTGCTTACTGACTTTCAATTTAATTAAGAAAATGGTGTGAATTTATATTATTTATTTGATTTTTATGTTTCCAACTATTAAATAATCCACCTTGTGTTGTCCCCCCTCACATTCCTAAAATTGAGTCACTGTATATACACACGCACGCGCGCGCGTGTGTTTACATTAAGACGCGCCCCCAGCCTACCTTCTTTAGCGGACGTCATGCCGTGCTGACGTCACCGCGGAGCCACGCTGCACAAGTAGTCCAAACAACTTTCCCAGAGGAACTCCTCAATACAACGCGTTCAGTCTGCTGCAAGAGAAGCTGAGATTTAACAAAGTAGCCGAAGACGTGTTGAGGAATCAGCGGAACTACTTCATTTTGCCTTTGAGTACATACATATATTTAAGGTTTTTTTTCTCACTTATATATTAAACTCTTACAACTGCCGTCTTTTTGTGGGAGTTATAAGATGAGGGATCTGCGGTTGTTGTTCCTCTTCGGGCTGGCGACTGGTTTCATCAGTGAAAAAGTAAGTCGCTTGCAATTTCGCTTTTATTGAAAATATCAAAACACGTTGTTTAAACCCTGAATGTTATGTGGCTCGGTGATCTTGACTTTTTGTCTTTTTTATCCCGAGAAAAGACCTTAATTGTCCGCTCAGATACATTTAGAAAATGCCAGCCTCCCTAAAGTTTAGTGTTAATTTTGTTCTGTTGCCGGTTCTGGTTGTTTTTCTTTATTCAGGCATAAAGTCTAATGTTAGGCGTTCAGTGTGTTTGTTTTCCTAACCTAGCCTACTTTTACTAATTGGTCCACCTGGACGTTTTATGATGCCCAACATGTCTTAGAAATGAACAACTGAAAAAATATCCTCGTTAAATGATTTATTGCACTGTAAAAGTCTCTAACAAGAGCCAGGACACTTTGCCACCTCTCCAGAAATGCATGATATTTTATATGATTTATGGACTGTATATTGTGAGAGGAAGAAATCAGAAACCTGATCCGTCCTGCTGGATATGTGTAGGCGAGGCAGTAAACATTTGCTTTATACAGAGAGTTGTGAAGACAGAGAGAGAATTGTTTAATGTATTTTTTTCCCCATGAACTTTAATCTGACAACTAAGTATTGTAAATAGATGGGATTACTATTAGTTTAACTGCTAAAACTGTACTTTTATCATATTGTAATGTCATACTCGTCTGCTCCACAAATGCTTTGACTGACTCCTATTTCATACCACTACCACACACTAAATTGCTGGGCGTGACGGGTTACGTCGTATGTCAAACTGAATGTAGCTGTAGAATTACTGGTTAGTTAGTCAGTCAGTGACGCTACTGACACGTGAAAAATGAATGTTGTAACCGGCTTGTGAGTTTGTGAGCTGGTAGTTTTGTCCTTTTCTGGATGGATGACTCGCAGTAAGTCCCACTGGGCTCGTCCAGGCAAGCATGTCGCTGCATGTGTTACACACCCAGCCTTAGCAGGCAAGTAGGCGTGTGTCACCCCCTCTCTATTTATGGTTGTGTTCAAAGTGCGTCTAAAACACACAGATGATGGAAAGACCAGATTACAATTTCAATAAAAAAAATTGTACTGATGATAATTCATGAATGTAGAAATAGTGGGTTGACATCCCAAGCTGGTATACAGTTTCATGTACTGTCAGCAGCAGCACAGTATTATTCACAACATATTAGTCACGACACTGTTCTCTGTCCCGACTGTCTGACTGCATCTGATTTGTGGCTGGACTGTTTCTTTGAGGCCTTTGTTGGTTGTACATCTGACATGTTCAACCAGACCTCAAAAGAGTTAAGAGTAAACCCTGAGGGTACTATTTTATTTTATTATTTTTACAATGGGAAATACCAGTGAGCTTTTCACCACATATCAGTGGTGAAAGGAATCTTACACGGCTCTTTGCTCTTTGCTCTACCACAGCAGTTTTCATATTTTTAAGCGTTTTAACTGATGAAATCTGATCTTTTGCCAAATAGTGTGGACCAAGACCTTTTTAGTTTAGGGTGAGCAGATACAAATAACTGCGCTACATATCTCAGTTAAGGACACCATAACATCCTAAATGGGTAAAGATAAAAGGCAATATTGTGTCAATAACGCTGTCCATGCCAACAGAGTTGTGACACAATATGGCGTCTGTTTACCCTGAGTTGATTACAGATTCTTTTGATCTGAAATATTTTACGTTTTGTGAAGCCTTTGGAGACTATAACTGCTGTTAACTAAACAGACACTTTAGACGCAGAGTGTGATCCAACCCTTTATGACTGGTCAAACAGACGCCCCCTCAACCACGGTGCTGTGTGCTGCTGCTGCTGCTATCTAGATGGTGATGACAGGTCAGCTGTGTACTTTTGGCTGTTACACAACCTCGCCCTCTCATTATCATTGACTTCCACTTCATATGGAAATGTTTTGCTGTAATGGCTATTAATCCAGCAGTCACAAAAAAATATGGATTTGTCGATTCCAAGTTTTAGTAAAGCATTCCCCCAAACGGACTCATTCACGCTCCCTATTGCACGCCTGTAGTGTTTTATCACTGCAAACAGGCTGTTTCCAGAAAACTGTCTTCACTTGGACAAAGCACCGGGACACCAGATGGTTATATACGGTCTGTGTGTGCTATGTGTTTTCCAGATGTGTGTAACCTCTGACTGACCGAGTCAAGTCTCCCAGTAAACCCTAGAGCATAACTTCTTTCTGGTGAAATGGATGGACAAAGAGATTGATAGCTGACTTTATTTTACAGTGTCTGCACATGTGTTTGAGAACACAGTCCATTAGTCGATCAACAGAAAAGTATTCACCGGTGATACGTGATCGTCACTATGTCCTGGCATTTTATTAACTAAATGATGAATTGAAAAGAAAGTTATCGATCATACCAATAAATATTAGCTGCTGCCATTTGGGCCGGCTCATACCTCCAGAAGGGATTGGCAATGATTCAGTTATTATTAATATGATTGTTTATAGACTTTAAGCTTAATTTTTTGAAAATAGGATCTTATCATGTTATCCTTAACACAAACCTGTTTGAGCTCATAGCATACTATAATCATGAAATGATAGCATACTATAATCATGAAATGATTATAGTATGCCACCTGAGGTCACAGTAGTTGTGGCCTCAGAAGGGAAGACAAGTTTAAAGAGTAAGTGTAATGTCTGCAGCAGTTCCAGTTTTGTGTGTTTCTGTGTTTCGTTTTGACAAGCGCAGCATCTGCTTTTGTAATCCCCGATTTAAAGACTGCAGGAACGCAAGAGCCGCCTCTGCCATTGAGACTCTGCTGTCTTCTGAAACATTATGTTAATGATTTCACGTTTGGCCTGTTTCACCACAATGTGAACACAACATCTGGCTCATCTCAGAATTATTTTCTCTCGCTGCATCGGTAGCTTGAACAAAAAAAAAAAAATAGTCAGACGTCTTAAGGAGTCACAAAGGAGAGCGAGCTGAACAGTTTGTCTTCAGCGTTGATCTACAGTAGTTTGTTTGATCACATAAATGTGGTCCAAGCTGAATGAAGCAACTGGCATTAGTAGGTGAAGTGCTTTGCTCTGCACTTACAGAATAAATGCACACATTTTACATCTGTATCTATTCTTCTTTATGCTGCCAAATGAAAGGCAAGTGTTGACACAAGAAGACTCTAGAATAGAGTTAATTTATACCTTTTTACTTCTCCCAAGTGTGAATATTTATTGCACTAAAAGATCCCCTCATGTTTCACCGACACCTGTTTTTTTTAGAAACAGTCTGTCTCTATCGTTTCCTTCCTTTCTCCCTCTCAGCACCTGTGTTAGTGGAAGCATAGTATACATACCAGACATAGTTCAGCCCTCAATGGGCCATATTCATCCAGTCCTGTGTGTGAGTGTCTGTCTCGCTGTCTTACTACCAACATCTGAGGAGCCATTCCTCTCTCTTTGAATTTCAGACTCATTGTCCGGTTGCTTTCCGTGTTACTCTAGTCTGCTCAAGCCGTTTGTTATATTACCATCTATATCAACTTGTTTTATTCTGCTTGACGTTGAGACAAGCTGGTAAATGACTTAATTTATTTAAGTACCTCATTTATTTGGTTGCAGCCTAGTTAACGTCAGACGAAGCTTTAGATGACAAGACAAGTAGTGTTTTGGTTTTCATCATTCTCCTTCTTTGTATTGTTTGGGTTAGTGGGAGGTTTTCCTACGCTGCAATCTTAGTGTGTGTGTGTGTGTGTGTGTGTGTGCGCGTGTGTGTGTGTGTGTGTGTGTGTGTGTGTGTGTGTGTGTGTGTGTG